GGCCGCCGTTACCGTCAATTCTGAGCGATATCACGTGGTGATAGAGGAGTATTTTTTGCCGCAACTTGAAAGAATGGATCTGGACGATGTTTATTTCCAACAAGACGGTGCAACATGCCACACAACCAACGTCAATATCCATCGATTGCAGTCCTTCTTCGGTGATCGCGTGATTTCGCGCAGAGGAAATGTGCCATGGCCACCAAGATCGTGCGATTTGACTCCCTTGGACTTCTTATTATGGGGATATTTGAAAAGCAAAGTCTACGTCAACAAACCAGCCACCCTCCAAGAACTCAAAAACAACATCATTGCCGAGATAAATGCCATAGAACCGACCATGTTGCAAAATGTCATTGAAAATTTCGACCATCGCGTGGACGTCTGTAAATCCAGTCGTGGTGAACATTTGAGCGATATTATTTTTCATACATAAATGGTATAAATGAACCTTCAAAATAAAGTACCCAACCCCAAAAAAAGGATCTAAAACCGACCCTTACAACTACAGGCCTATAGCTCTGCTTTCTGTTATAAGTAAAGTGATGGAGAGGTGCATAAATCGCGAGCTTCTGGACTACCTCGAACGTCACAGCTTGATTAGCGACAGGCAGTACGGTTTCCGGCACCAACGATCCACAGGGGACCTCCTAGCTTACGTCACGCAACTGTGGAGTAAACTCATCCAGTCTCATGGTGAGGCTCATGTCGTTGCTCTTGACATCACGAAAGCGTTCGATCAGCTGTGGCACGCTGCCCTCTTGAGCAAACTTCCATCCTACGGCCTCCCAGAAAAGCTTTGCAGATGGTTGGCTGACTTTATCTCTGGCCGCAAGATATCCGTCGTAATTGACGGATTCTCTTCTTCATCCCACAACGTCAACGCGGGTGTTCCCCAGGGATCGGTCTTGGCTTCAACACTGTTTCTCTTACATATCAACGACCTCCTTTCCTGCACGATCAACCCAATCCACAGCTTCGCTGATGACAGCACTCTACATGCAGGAATTCATAGTGACAAGCCGATCTCTGCCGCTGAGCTGGAAAAAAGAAGACTAGCGACGACTTCTTCTCTGACAAGAGACCTGGAGGCTATCACTGCTTGGGGACGCAACAATCTTGTACAGTTCAATGCTTCCAAAACACAGTACTGTACTTTGACGAACAAAAAGCGTCCTAGCGCTCATACAGTTTCGATGGACGGTCGAGTTCTACCAAAGAGCCATTCATTTCGGCTGGTCGGAGTCCAGATCACCGAGGACCTGATCTGGCACGAACACATCTCTTCAATAGCTGCAGCTGCTGGGAAAAAGCTAGGCTATTTGTTTAGGGCTAAGAAGTACTTTTCTCCGCATGACCTTCTCACTCTATACAAGGCCCAGATAAGGCCTAGCCTCGAGTATTGCTCACACATTTGGGGTGCTGCCGCCCCGACTACATTGTCCATGCTCGATGCTGTCCAGAGGAGGGCGGTCCGACTGATCGATGACTCTTCTCTAACAGACAGTCTCGGGACTCTTTCGGCGGGCCGTCGGCGATCTAGCTCTTTTCTATCGCTACACCAACGGGCTTTGCTCCTCGCGCGATGTGCCTGCCAGACAGACCCGCCTGACTTCGGCGTCGTATCCTAACCGTGTCAAACTTCGTACATCCAGAACTGGCCGATACGACCGCTCCTTTGTCCCGAGGGTGTCTAGATTGTGGAACAAACTACGGGAGGAAGCTTTTCCCAGTTCTACTAACCTTAGGCAGTTCAAAAATCGTATTAACAAAATTTCTTTGGGATCATCATAGCAGCCGCGGTGTTCCGGCATTTAGGCTTCTGCCTGCGCGGCTGTTTCGATATAAAAAAAAAAAACTTGATTTGAATATCAATCTTTCTTGTTTTAATTTGCGTTTACTTTCCTGCGTCCGTTTTGGACAACTATATACCTCTTGAGCGCTGTCGTTGTCTGCCATGTCAAGCCACATCACCTGTTTGTATTTTTTGGGTGATTATTTGTTTTTTGTCACTTCTCATGATAGTTTCAGCTGTAGTTCAGTTAGTTATACAATGCTTTTCAAAGAGGTCACTCTTTTTGTACGGCAGGGGGCAGGCGTATCTTGAAAAGTGACGTTATGTCGTTTTTTTTGATGTTATATAGATTTTTTGTGACATTACGTAGGTTTTCCTACAAGATGTCAACCTAGCACTGGATGTTGTACAATTATTGTGTACTCGTTCCGTAGCTGTACGTGTTGCCTAAAGGTCATGATGCTTCAGCTATCAATATCTGGCTCTGCTTGAGAGATGGCATTGGAGGTGTAAGCTGTAAGTGTTATAGCAACATTTCATAGTTGTCTTTAAATGCAACCAACAAAGCATGATGCAGCTTGGTCATTAAGCGTGTCGTATCGTTAGTCATTCCTCCGATGGAATGGAATGATTTTGAAGCTCGTTATTAGTACTTATAACCCCGAAAAATGGAATCATTGTCTTTTATAAGGACGGAATATAGGGGGTTGTTAGAGCTTTTGTATATTGAATAGCTTATAAACTTTGAATACATCAATCTTATAACTCAACAACTAATCATCAGAACCTTGAAATATGTTAATATTGTTCTTTTAGATGGGTCTATTTGAACGAGCAAAGAAATATGAAACATTCAGTTCAGAAAAGTCTGACAGATTTTGACCTTATTTCAATGGAATGTTTCATATTTTATTATGGGTATATTCGGATAACATAAAACCTTCCTAGAAGAAGAAGATTCATATCAAATGCTATAACGTTTTGGTGATTAGTTGTTGAATTATAAGCGACTCATTGTACAAAAAATGCTCAACTTTGACAGACGGTCCTTCATTTTGAGAGATAGTGAATTTATATCCTAGGCCTATAAAGTACTCATAAGGAGCTTCAAAATAATTCTATTTTACGTTATGTGTAAATTTCATCGTCGCGAATTTCAGCCCGCTAACTTGAGCAGTGCAAGAAACAAGTAAAAGGAATTTTCTAAAAAGCTCTGTACAAGATCCGTAAACAATAATTCCGCATGTAAATATAAGTTCAGCATCCCAAGTGGTAAAAACAAAATTGATGCAGGAAGATCCTTTATTCTCTATAATTTTGCTCACAGGAAGTCACCTTACACAGGGTGTTAATAAGGTACTAAAACTTCATGGGCTGATTCCTTGTGTGTCTAACAAAAAAGTTCATATGAACATAGAAGGTAACATTTTGTTGTCAATATACATTTTCACAAGCTTTGTTTGAAAAATTGTCGTCGTAAAAATCGCAAGAACCATTCAGCCAATTGCACTGAAAATTAGTGAAATCAGAATGATAGAAGCGATTAACAAAATATTTAAATGAAACCATAAATTTTCGTCTCAAACCATAGCGCCGAATTTGAATCCCTGATGTTTTCCATTATTTTTTTTTTTGTAATCTGAATTTTGGCGTTAGATCTCTACATGCGAAAATTCAAGAAATCTCAACAAATCATTATTAAGATTTTTGCCGGAAATCAAGAACAGACGATTCCACAAAATAAAAAAGTGATACATTCTGTTGGTACCGTTATACCTCTCCCATGTACTTTTTCGTGCTGAACATGAGTCTAAAGTCGGAACTGGGGGTGGATAAAAATCATATGACAGGTCCACATCTAAATAAAAAGTGGTGTGTACTAGGAGTCTCACTATCTCAATCTGAAGTCAAAATTGGGGGTCGATTGACAAATATGAAAGTAATCAGATTTCAAATTTTTGCTGTATGCGCATCTCTCAAAGGTCTAAGAAGAGATGTACATCCACGAAAAATACCAGAATCTGGGACCTTAATGCCTAAAGTACTTTCATATTGTCCAGGGACGCACAGTTCTGACAGATTCGTGTTGAACAAGAAAAAAATAGATGGAAAAAATATAGTAAGATCCCCGCTCACCCCAATTAGACACAATTATAGTACAACCTCGGCGTTTCTCAATTTGCAAGATAACATTTTGGGAGCCTTAGATAAGAAAATCGCATTAACGTTAATATCTATGGATTTCTTGAAAGCTTTTGATAGCATTAATTATGATTTACTATCTAAATTGAAGTATATATCTTAGCTTTTTCATTTTCTTGATCAGAGGATTCAGTGTGCTTGCATTCATCAAAAATTTTCTCATGTGACTACAATCCCTTCAGGCGTCCCTCAAGACTCTGTATTAGGACCGTTATTATATCTGTTATATACTTTTGACATGAACAAAATCCTTGATAATTGACTTATCCAATAATTCGAAGAATACACAATTGTTACATTATTTTGATCACCAGAATATCGAAAATACTTTGGAAGCTTTTCAAAATGATGTTAATAATTTAATCCAATATTTGGCCGATCATAATCTGGCTGACAATAGTTACAGTTCTCCGAATCTGCAAAAATTCTTGGTGTTGTTTATGACACAAAATTAACGCTTATCGAACATGTCAAAAGTATTTCACAGAAAATATATCCAAGGATGCCTACTCTAATTGCAAACAAGTATCTACTAAATTTCAAGTTACTTAAGAAATTATGTGAATCCTTGGTGATATCTGTTCTAAATTACTGTAATGTACTATGTTTAGACAGCTATATTGAAAACCCAATCCAGATCATCCAAAATAATTGAGGGGTTTGGAAGTAGAAAGGTTCAAGTGCACTTTTTTAATTAAATGGTCTAAGTGCAGAATATCATACCTAAAGCATATCCTAACTTGGTGGTAAAATGATTTAAATGCAGGCAACGTTCCCTGGCGCGATCTCTCATAGTCTTTGAGAACATATCAAAATATCCACTAATACAGTGTGTGGGTAAAATGATTCAAGTGCACTTGAACCATTTTACTTCTAAGGCTTTGGCAACTATTTTTAATGTTTTACGTGTGACGTGATATCAACGTTTTACTTATTCTTAGTTAAAAATACGCATTTTGCAGTGTTGGTATTGTTATAGTAATAAACAAAATGAGTACTGATTGGGAACACAAGGTATCTCTCAGGAGAATTAAGTATCAATAAGATGTACAAATTATATCAGGAGTTTTGTATTGACAAACAAGAATTACCAGTAAAAGAGTCCTATTGCAGGCATATTTTCAATACGGAATTCAATTTAAGATTCCACAAGCCCTATAGTGATACCTGCAGTCATTGTGACAATTTACAAAATTTAATAAAATATTCTACAAATGAAGAAGACCAAAGCTGCACCAAAGAAAAGCCCAGAAAGCAACAGATGCCAAAAAAGCTGATATTGCTGAAAATAAAAATGATTCTAAAAATACGGCTGTAATTTTTTTTGAGTTGCAACAGGCATTGCCGACGCCATTGTTAACCACCTCTAAAGTCTTTTATCTTCATCAATTATGGACGTATAATTTCTGTGTCTTTGACTTACTGACTGGAAAAAGTTATATGTATATGTATGGAACAAAACTATTGCATCCAGGGGCTCATGTTTAATAAAATTTGTGCAAAGCCTTCCATCTACAGTTACGAAGATTATTGCATACAGTGATTCGTGTGGAGGACAAAATAAGGATAAAAACATTTCTAAACTATTTAGTTTTATTGTTCAAGCTACACATATATCTGAGATTCATCACAAGTTCCTTGAACCCGGACACACTTACATGGAAAGTGACCGTAGTTTTGGCTTAATCGAGAAGAAAAACAGGCAAATACCGCAAGTTTTTGTCCCCGCAGATTGGGAGACTGTAATAAGAGGCACATCGGCCAAATTTATTGTGTACAATATGAACAAAGACGATTTCTACTCTTTTTCGCCGTTCAATGAAATTATGAACGATCCAAAAAAAATAGTGACGGTTACCCCTTAAAATGGAAAGAAATTTGCTGGTTTGCTTACTATAAAAGTGAAAGACTAACATTTGGATACAAGAGTACCCTAAACATTGATGTAGAGTTTAGCAGTTGCTTAATGGCAACCTCAAAAGTTGGGCGTCTGTGTTTTAACTTTTCAATACTATAGCCTTTGAATGGCAGGTCAATAAAGATTAAAGTCGCCAAGTACAAAAACTTGCTTAGCTTATTGGAATACATTCACCATACATTCCATAAAAACATGAAGCACGATGCTAAAGCATTAACAAAAAAAGGAAAAAAGCAACAAACATAGAGCCTGACATCAAACCAAAAAGTACCTGATATAGATGAACCCCAACCAAGACCAGCTGATTCAGATGAAGAAAATGATGAAGACATCCAAATATTAGATTCTGATTATGAATAAGAAATTTTTTTATAGATTATTTTTAAATAATGTTTGGTTTAGTACGGTAGTTACACTTGAATCATGTTACCACCATATTTTTTGTAACATGTATAATGATTCAAGTACATTTTTGCAAAAATGACAATAAAAAAGCAAAATTAAGAAAATGTTTTTTGTTTGTAATGTTTTATTGGCATTTAAATAAACTTAATATAGTATCATACTTTGAGAAATTTATTCCTGGAATTTTCAAATTCAAGTAAACTTTGATGCCATTTATCTCAAAACTACTAAAAATGTACTTAAACCCTTTTACTTCCAGGCCCCTCAATTGTGCTCGTTTTATTTTTAGGCTCCGCAAATTTGATCATGTATCCAATACTCAATTGGCTGAAAATAATGATTTGGCTAAATATCACAAAAAGCGAAATCATCATTACCTCAATGACTTGATTACATAATCATGCTTTTTTTGCTTCCCCATTTTTTCTAGTTTTTTTGACGTACTTTAATTTGGAAAGTATGCCAGTTTTGGCTATATCGTAATAATTTTTTATTAAAAATTTAAATTTGCTCTTAATAATATTTCATGGCAGCATTTTGAACACTTATTGAAATAAAAGTGATATTTTCGTTTTTGTTTTCTATTTGAACAAATTAAGATCAATAAAGATTTTTCTAATTTTCTAGAAAACGAATCAACCGATTTTAAAAAATCAAACGATAAAATAGTTGACTTCGGAAGACCTTTCAAAAAAGCTATTACTCCATACCCCCTGTCATTTAAAATTTTTAAGGGGATGACCCTGGGGGCAGAGGGTGAAAGGGGGTGACGTAGTTTTTGATTAAAAAGCTGACCACTTTGACAAATATTTCGATGTGTCTCGGCCTTTTTTTTAAACCCTTGTTTTCGATAAATCCGTGGTGGGAAGTTTTCAACTGAACTAACTAATGGGTGATTTTTTTGCTAGTATCTTTTTGGCAACACTGTTTTTGACAGATGACGCGTGAATCGTGTCTTGTGTCATTGTCAAACTTGTTCAGTTTGGTCTATAATTTAACCATGAATCGACTTACGAACGAACAACGCTTGCAAATTATTGAATTTTACTATCAAAATTCATGCTCGGTTAAGAGAGTGCATCGAGCACTGCTTCCAATTTATGGGCAATTTGGTCGGCCTACTGAGGGAGCTATTCGGAAGCTTGTGACTAAATTTCGAACCCAGTTTACATTATTGGACATTAAACCACCAACACGCAGACGTAGAGCGAGGACTGAAGAAAATATTGAGGCTGTATCCGCCAGTGTTAGTGATGACCGTGAAATGTCGATTCGCCGCCGTTCGCAGCAATTGGGCCTCTGTTACTCCACTACGTGGAAAATTTTGCGACAGGATTTGGATGTAAAACCTTATAAGATACAGCTGGTGCAAGAATCGAAGCCACACGACGTCCCACAACGTTTCCACTTTGGTGAATGGGCGCTGGCAAAGTTGGAAGAAGATCCACATTTTTATAGAAAAATTGTGTTCACCGACGAAGCTCATTTCTGGTTGAATGGGTACGTTAACAAGCAAAACTGCCGCATCTGGAGTGAAGACTAGCCAGAAGCATTGCAAGAGCTACCAATGCATCCCGAAAAAATCACTGTTTGGTGTGGATTATGGGCCGGTAGCATCATCGGGCCGTACTTCTTCAAAGACGACAATGGCCTGAACGTAACTGTGAATGGCGAGCGCGACCGTGCGATGATAACAAACTTTTTTTTCCCAAAATGGAAGAGCTGGACTTGGCTGACATGTGGTTTCAACAAGACGGTGCCACATGCCACACCGCACACGAAACAATGGCCCTATTGAGAGGCGAGTTCGGTGAACAGTTTATCTCACGTTTGGGGCCCGTCAATTGGCCGCCTAGATCGTGTGATTTAACGCCGTTGGACTATTTCTTGTGGGGCCATGTTAAGGCTAATGTCTACAGGGATAAACCAGCAACGATTGACGCACTGGAAGCCAGTATTGAAGAATTTATTCGTGAGATACCGGCCGATATGTTGAAGAGAGTGTGCCAAAATTGGACCTTGCGCATGGGCCATCTAAAGCGGAGCCGCGGCCAACATTTACATGAAATAATCTTTAAACATTAAATTATATCGACCGTTCTATCGACTCAAATAAAGAATTAATCATTATTTTTTTTTGTTTTTTTTAAATCAAATCCTATACGTCTTAAAAAATCACCCGTTATATCATAATCACATCTTCCGCTTTCCTTTTTAATATTCATATAGTCTAATCTGCTAAAGGAAATATAATTCTTGACGAGTTATGCTGAACACTTCAGTACATACTTCAGAAATTCTATCAATAAAACGACTTAGTCGGAGTAAAACAAAATTAACTTATAAATTGAAAACTGATTCAAATAAGTGCGTGGGAGGTAGCAAAAACCTGTTACTATTCTACCTATCACGCCCACTATAACGTACAATATCTGTAGCCATTTAGCAAAAGTAGGTATAATGAAATTGGTGACCTTATACCTATGACTAACGACTTCCGACATAAACCTTTATATAGCAATTCTTCATTACTCGTATTACTAATTTATCACTAACCGCTCCGTAGCTTCATTTTCATAATGCCGTAGAGTGATGGGCAAATTACAGAGTAGCTCAGTATCGCGATTTTTCCCTCTCGTGCATCAGTGAAATATTCAAGATGCCCGCGGCTGTGCTAGTTCTGATAATGTAAGAGGTTTATCTCAAGCCATAAGGCTGATGGTTGATGGGAATTACATCAGCGTCTGGTAGGAATTAGTTGATAAGCGATACTTAAGGTAAAGGTAGGAGATGAACTATAAGAATCCGTATCTGAACATTAAAATTGTTGCCCTACCGAGTTCTACGTTTTTAGATATCAATTTGAATATATCGTCTCCAGTTGATAGATGGAGAGGTACTGTAGATGTAGAAGCAAAAACATCGTTGATCTTAAGTGTATGTATATGTAACTATCAAAACCAATTTTTTAGCACTTGGCAAGTTTAAAAGTAATACATTATCTACACTACCGTTCAAAAGTATTTGAACAGCCATAAAACAAGGAAATTGATGGAAGAAAACATTATAATATCTGTAAGAAGTATTTATTTTCTTTATTATACTAAGTGACATATAAACAGCCAGTTTAAATGGTTTTATTTTAATAAAATTTTGTATAAGTACTTAATGAAGCATAATAAGTAAATGATAAAAATTTCAAAATGATTGCACTGCTTTAAAGCCCTTTGACCTTTAATAATGTGTGGATGCATCCTGATGTGCTACGCATTCTCCAACGCGCCTAGGCATGCTTCTGATCAGGTGGTCAATGTCCTCCTGTGGTATCTCATTCCAGGCAACCACCAACTCCTCTCGAAGTGCTTCTAGAGTCTGAGGAGGACGTTGCAAATTGAGCAATCTCCTACCCATCATATCCCACACGTGCTCAATTGGGGATAAGTCGGGTGATCTTGGTGGCCATGGTAACAATGTGACATCATTATTAATATTAACAACGTACAACTATTTATAATCAAAATAATCATATTTTTGACTCATCAATGTGTCCTCGCTTACTTTTAATTGCAGCCAGGCAAATGATGGGTAAATGCGCAACTAAGTTTTCTAAAGAGGATGAAGTTATTTTCCGCCATTCGTCTTGTAATATTCTCCATAAGTATTCTTGAGATGTAGGACAACATTTCCGTACTATCTATCCAGTTTATCCCACAGCAACTCTATCGCATTCAAATCCGGGGATTGAGAAGACCATTGCATGACCTTCAAAATATTTTGTTCTTCTTGTTCCAAAAATTGTTTACAGGGCTTGGATGCGTGTTTGTAGCATGGCTATGTAACCTTCTTTATTCAGTATTCCCTGTACTCTCACAATATCCCACAGAGTGGAACCACCAAAACAACCCCCAAATCGTTATAGAGATTGACGGTGCATGATTCTAATGCCCTCTCATTATGCCGACGCCGGACAAAAACCAAAAACTTCTAATTTCGATTCATCGTTCCAGGGGACCTTCTTCCACTCAGCAACTGTCCAATTTTGTTGGCCCAATTCAGTCTCTTTTTTTTTTGTTAGTAGCCCTGATGAGTGGTTTCGATACTTATAGGTTTACTAGGGCCCACATTCAAGTCCGCTGCTATTTCGGGTGCAGTCATGCATCTACTGCGTTTACTTTCATTATTATGCTCGAGTCTATAGTGGAAGTTGTAACTCGGGGCTCCCTGAACGACGGCTATTGGATGATGTGCCTTGAGCCTTAAATTTCTCAATAGATGATAGTGGTACCTTCTGAAGTTCAAAAATATCTCGAACTTTTGTCGTACTTTGGAGAAAAATAATAACTCCTTTTATCTTCTTGGAATATGCTTTAGTTTTACCGATTTTGTCCAGGAAAAAAATAAACGAAAACGCACTTGTTGAACAACCTTGAATATAAGATATTGAAGCGCGGTTAGATGATCAAATGAGACAAGATAACTGAAGTAAAACTGTGTTTTCGAAGTACGTACAACACAAAATAAAGGAAATAATCGAAAAACAATCCTGAGAAAGAATTCCTATACAAAAACATAACAATATTCTAAAGGTAAAGAAATTCCCATAATGGCTAATGATGAGATCCCAATAATAGTGTAAGCAAAATTTTGATTTCAACGATCTTTCAATGATGCTCGATTTCCATGGTGATGGTTTTCAATAAATAAATAAAAATAAATACGCACTGAATAGTTTTTTCTTTGTTTGTTATGGTTTTAAATGGAAATATGCAGGTGTTCAAATACTTTTGAACGATGGAGTATATTTGTTGAATCAACTTTATTCGATATTTCCAAGAATAATGGGGTTTCCACGGTGGAAAATATTTTAAGGTCAAATTTTCGCATATTTAGCGGGGGTTGTAAACATTTGCGCTATTTCTGTGAGGACTAGCTAGGGATTTGTTAAACTATCAAAAGTGCTATATCAGAAAATTAGATTTCTTGTTGAAAATAGTCGCGTCCTCTCTATCGAAAAGGAGCATCAGGATTGGGTATCAACGAAGGCAATCTGGTGGAAATTATAGATAAAATAATCAGAAAAAGATTGCGAAGGGACAAAATACAACATTCGGTAAAAACGTGTCAAGAGTTGTACTCTACGAGAATGCAGTCATGTCAGGAAAAAAGTCTTGCATCTATTTCTTATTCTCTGAAAAAATCCATCTACATCTTTTTTCTTATTTTCTTGTATAGATATTTTATTTCTAATGGAATGCATCTTGGCTGCTGTTTTTAGCCATAAAATGCTTTAAAACCTAAATTGGTCAAAAAGTTATAGCGAAAACCCCGTAAAGATGAAGCAATTCAGTATTTTTTTTATTTAAATTTGCTCGACATTGACTTCATATCTCGTGAAAAATATGTACTTGAACACATCTTTCTCTTTTTGTTGCATTTTTTCTTAAAATCCGTTCTATTGCTCAGGTCGGTGATGCAGTTAGTTCCCTGTAAGTGATTATTCTTATTATTATTTTTTTTATTTACAGTATTTTAAAAATAATGCTGCTAAAACTGTACAAAGCAATAATATACGTATGGCAATACGCGAACTTTTTCCTGAAGCTATATTGTTATAAATTGGGAACATTTTTGAGCTATTTGCTTGAAATCAAAATAGGAAAATAGAGAATTGGTTTGGTTTTTCTGGGTTTTAAGCGTTAACACACCTACAATTCTGCGTCCCATCCAAACATTCCAAAATTTATTTTGCAGTAATTTTAGGACAGAAAAAAAAGCCAGGCGGCATTCCTTAACAAAGAATATCTAGTTAACTCCTGTAACAAATGAAATCAAGTAATCTCAAGACCTACAGAGGAACTTCGGTTATTCTGGAATAACTACGGTGCGGCAACGTCAATGTTTGTGTGATAATTTATACATTTTTGAGATCAAATCTAAAAACTTCATCTACGCAAAGGTCTAGTATGGCATCCATAAAAAAAGTATGTGCTAGAGACGAAGCGTTATATTGAAATTCTAATTATGCCATCTTGTAGAGGAGAAATGGCAATGTTAGCCTGCAATTTATTTTGATATCCCACTACAAATAAAGTCAAGAAAAAGTTAAAACGTTTTCAGAAAAATTCGGTTTTTTCCGTTGTTAGCTTCGTATCTCTTACCGTTTCCGAGATCCCAATCGAATTTGAAACACCCGGTATAATATATCAGAAAATTAAAACGTATTTAATGCCTAAAGTATGTACTAAAAGTTTTAGCATAAAATTTCGTTGGCTTTAATTTTAACAAGCACAAAATAATATCAGTCAGTTGACATTCATTTGTCATAATTTCTTCATAAAAAAAATCACATAAATATTTGTAATATTTGAAATATTTTCACCAAATTTTTCTCCTCCTGCGATTCTGCCCGGTGATTGTGCTAGGATCTATATGAATTTGCTATTTTTCATCTGTTCTGTTATTGTAATGAAATGGTAACATTCAGAAAAAAATGAGCAATGTCTTAGATCGTACAAATAGCAAATTAGAATTTGAATTCTGGCGTTTAAAGTGGGTGACCTAGTAAAGATAGTAACAACTTTATCTGATATTTTCAAAGCACACCAACGAAATAATTTGTTGCCGAAAAATCTGAACAACGATATAAGAAACGATCTTTCTTCAAAGCCTCCATGCATCCAAATAGCTGAAAGAAGTTTCAGAAATGAGCAAAACTAAAGTAAATACGTACAAAAATGACGATGCTCATATAAACATTGAGAATTTGTGAAAATAATTAGATTGACTTCACAATCAGTTAGTTATCCGGGAGGTAATACGAAAAAACAAATTTTGCCCTATCTTGCAGTTTTTGGTCATTTATCGCTTTCATCATAGAGGTGTCGTTTATAGGTAGTTTGTTTCCTCATTTTTGCAGCAACCATTTAACCCAACTTGTTGATCAAGAACAATTTGGTATGAAAGAACAAGATTTTGTCCTGTTTAGTTCAAAATGGTGGCAGATTTATTATCAAGAACAGCATGATATCAAGGAAGCAACATCCCAAACTTTGTTCATATATGTTTCATACGAGCTAGTCAATTTTTGTATTGTTCAAAAAATAAGATTCATGATCAAAATTTCAGCTCCCGTTTTGGGCGCCTTTTAGGTTTCTGCTCATTTTAAGGATTATTCGAGAACGGGGCTAGAAATATTGGATTCATTCGCTTACTTTTAAATAGTTTCCAAGTTGAAGATGTCATCAGTAATACTGATATAAGCGACTTGGAATTTTTTCAAATTGTTTTATTGCTTTTTGCCAGCCAAAACGTCAGTAAATTCACTGATTCGTCATCTGTGTTTATATACTAAGTGACATATAAATCCGAACACCCAGTTTAAATGGTTTTATTTTAATAAAAGTTGGTGAATGTATTTATCTTACTGTAAATAACAAGTGAAAAAATTTTCAGCCTTATCAGTTGGACATTCCGGTTTTTATACTGCTTTTTTTTAATTCACTAACGCTCTAAAAATGAATATTTCAGTCGCAGTAAAGAATCAACGTTGGCGGATTTTGGTTCTTAACATCCTTTACGATCGGTTACGAAGCCTAGAGTACGGAGACCTGTACGATTTCGTCAACTTAGTGAGTTTGATAGGGGCCGTATAGTGGGACTTCGGGAAGCTGGACTTTCTTTTCGGGCAATTACAGTTAGAGTGCAAAGAAGTGTAGACCCTGTGGTTAGGTGTTGTCAGGCATGGCTTCGAGAAGGTCGTACGCAAAGAGCAAGGGGCACTGGACGCCGCCGTAGAACAACAGACCGTGAAGATCGCCGCCTAAGATTATTGGCCTTAAGGGACCGTTTCTCCACTACCAGGTCCATTGCAAATGAGTGGTTTGCAGAACACGGAAGACCTATTGGCATGCGAAGTGTTTACCAACGAATAAGAAGTTTTGGCTTGTTTTCATACCGGCCACACTGGGTCCTCCCTTTAACTCGAGAACACCGACGTAATCGCCTTGAGTGGTGCAGACAACGGTCACTCTGGGATCAGGAATGGAACAGTATTGTCTTTAGTGACGAGTCTCGATTTTGTTTAGGCATGCACGATGGGCGCCAGGGCGACGTGGTGAACGGAAGAATCCACAGTTTTTTGTTGAAAGACATGTTCATCACACTGTTGGAGTTATGGTTTGGGGTGCTATAGCTTATGGTTCCAGGTCACCTTTAATCTTCATCAGAGGTAACATGAACGCGCAGCGTTATATCCACGAAGTTCTAGAACCCCATATTTTACCCTATCTTGACACCCTGGCAGATCCAACTTTCCAACAAGATAATGCCCGACCACATGTTGCAAGAGTCACAATAGACTTTTTTCAACATAATGATGTCACATTGTTACCATGGCCACCAAGATCTCCCGACTTATCCCCAATTGAGCACGTGTGGGATATAATGGGTAGGAGATTGCTCAATTTGCAACGTCCTCCTCAGACTCTAGAAGCACTTCGAGAGGGGTTGGTGGTTGCCTGGAATGAGATACCACAGGAGGACATTGACAACCTGATCAGAAGCATGCCTAGGCGCGTTGGAGAATGCGTAGCACATCAGGGTGCATCCACACATTATTAAAGGTCAAAGGGCTTTAAAGCAGTGCAATCATTTTGAAATTTTTATCATTTACTTATTATGCTTCATTAAGTACTTATACAAAATTTTATTAAAATAAAACCATTTAAACTGGGTGTTCGGATTTATATGTCACTTAGTATATTTATTGGCGAAAAAGGAGATTTTTTGAGTCTATGTTCATCCAAGTTGGGGATTTCGTCAGTTATACTGATACAAATTTTGCGACTTGGACATTTGTCAAATTGTTTTATTGCTTTTTGAGTAATCAGCCGAAAGATATTTGAGTTATTCAGTTTTCGATTTAACACCTTAACCCGCCAGACATGCCACCTGATACGTCAGTAAATTCAGTGATTCATGATCATTGATTTATTGGCGAAAAAAGAGATGGTTGAGTCTATGAGCGTCGCTTGGAAACTAAAAGGCTGTTTCTTTTTTTTTTGCAAAAATTCCAATGTTACGGTTATTTCCTTAACGTATGTGATGTTGATAGCATGAGTGACAATATACACAAGAGTTACCTTAAGTTTAAATGTCCAAGTATTCAAAAAATATTTTCTCTTCTTCGTCCTCACCGAGACATCGTACTTCCTGGTTGACGACCTTATTCCAATTTTATTGGCGGTGCACATTCGATGATTCGAACACATCTATCACGCGTAAACACTGAGCGCATTTTGCGCGGTGACTACCGTCAAAAATAGCGTCGGCGTCGCGTGCTTAGAATCGCCGTGCTTTGAAATGCCGCCGGACTGAGGTCTGGCGCGTACTGTGGCCATGTTTACGTTTTGACTACCTACGAGTACCCGCCACC